TGGGGGTGCTGAATGAAACAGAAAATTATATTTTATGGAAAATAAGTACTCCTCTTTCAGTTTTTAAAAAATACGAAATATGTAATATTCTTCTAGAACACATTAAAAAAAACTTACAAACTAGTTAACAAAATAATAGATAATATTCAATTCAGAAATAAAAACAAACGAACTGAGAGTATACACTGAAAACAGTGTTCAGAGCTTGTGTTACATGTGACTAGATGTGTCATTCAAATAGAGGTGCTGCACAAAGGTTGTTTATTCTTATTTTGAAGCTTGTGCTTAAATCTGCTGCTGTCAGTGGTACGAACCTTCAGAATAGGCAAGTACTGACACACAGTAATTTTTGTATGCAAAGAAATATGCATATCCTCGTTTCTATAATTATGAGAATCATTCTCATCATTATATCATTATCATTATAATTATTATCATTCTTGTTACTATTGTTTTGAAATGTTGATTATAACCATAACGATTCTAAAAGGTACGTAATAACATTAACAATGATTTTAACAACTAAAAACAATAAGAATGATAATAATGATTATCATTATCATTACTATCATCATTAATTGTATTATCATTATTGTTATTATCATCATCATTATTATTATTGTCATATAATTATTATATTACTATCATCATCGTTATTATCTATTTTTTCTATTATCATCGTTACACTTATTAGTATTATTTTCATTGTTATTATCATTATCATCATTTTCATTATCATCATCATCATCATCATCATTATCATCATTATCATCATCATCGTTATCATTGTTGTCATTATCATTATCATTTTAGTACCATTATTAGTATCATCTAGTAATAACATTATTACTATTGGTATTATCAGCAGCAGCATTACCACCACCATTATTATTATTGCTTTGACAATTTTCATTGTTATTATTATCATTATTATTAATATTATTATTATCATTATTGCAGCGTCGTCGTCTGGTCGTGCAATAGTCTACGTTAAAACTGGAGAGTAGCTCAAGCCGCTCAACTTCAACTCCGTTTTCGATTAATTATCTTCAAATAATTTTATTGACAGTATTTTCACATTAGATCCATTAATTTACCATTTTCATTAATTTAAATTCCATTATTCAATTATATAAGTGTTAATATATATGCTCATGCTCATTATACAGGTTCATATGTTCATGTGTATATACCTTATTTCATTGTAAATGTAATTATATGCTTTGTTGGTTATTATCTCTATATTTTAAAAAAGCTGACTGGCTGGACTGCAGCATAGGATCATCATACTTATTTACTGGTGAACAATGTATTAAATAATCGGGAGTTACAAAGAATTATATATATTTCTTTCGTACTTGCGCCAACACCACCACAAAATACGAAGAAAAATACTAAGCTTTAGATTATTTTAACGAAATCCAGGGGGGGGGTCAACGAGAGCGTATGTCCAGCCACTCGTGAGCGTGGGCGTGAACTCCCGCGCCCTTGAAAAATCACTCCAAGAGGCACGACTTAGAACGGCTCTGCACGCCCGTTAACCTGATTGGTCAATAAGCAATTGGGGGGTATATCTTTTAGAAATAAAATCAAGTGGCATAGAGTACTAAAAAGTAATACAGAAAAATGTGGCAATAAAAAGCATCTTATAAAACATCTAGGAAAATAGATAAAACACAGTAATAGAAAGAAAAATAAAAACTGTATAGAAAATAAAATAGTGTATGCTTAAAATAAAAAGAAAATGTAACGTAATTCATAACAGAGAACGGATGTTAGCCATTTTAGGAGGAATTCATATAAATCCATGCAAGTAGATATGTTCGTATGTATATATAAATTATAAACCAGGTGGACCTCAGGGTACACTACAGTTATTATTATTATTATTATTATAAATTTACAGAAATAAAATAAGGATAATAAAAACAATATTAGCATTGATAATGATGATAATGATCATAATAATGATAAAGTTGCTTGCTGTTCCCAAAGCCTGTATATAGTATTTGGCTATTATTATTATTATTATTATTATTATTTCAGGAACAACTGTTGGTCTAATAATAATGATGATGATGATAATAATAATAATTACACTACTACTACTACTACTAATAGACAAATGGTAATAATAATGACACAATAATGCTGATAATAAGGATAAAATTATTATAATAATAACAATAGTAGTAGAGATAATGATAATAATGATAATGTTGCATGCTGTCCCCAAAGCCTGTATATAGTCTTTAATTGTCCTTTCTAGTGCCTCCGTTTTCTGCAATTAAGTTGTCATTCTGTACAAAGGTTTTTTATTCTGACTTTGGAGTTTGCTGTTGTCAGTGGTGCAAACCTTCAGAAAAGGTGAGTTGTGGCACGCACAGTAATTTGTGTACATAGAGAAAAATGTATACCCTTGAATGGTGAAAGCACTCTACTGTGTTGATATGGTAGAAAACCTACAATGTAAAACTAGATCTATTGAAAGTGAGGATCAGACCTAAGGATGGATGAAACTGCCGTCTCACTTTCAATAAATCTAGTTATACATTGTGGGTTTTGTACAATGTATATCTTTATTTCTATGATTAAGGAAATCACTTTTATTATAATTATCATTCCATTTATCATTGTTACTATTGTTTTAAACTAAAGATAATAACCATAACAATTCTTAATGGTACATATTACATCAACAGTGATATCAAAATAACAAGACAATAAGAATAATCATAATGATTATTATTATTATTGTCATTATTATCATTTCCATTATCATTGTTATTGTCATTATTATTCTCATATCATTATATTACTATCATCATCGTTATTTATTATTATTATTATTACAATTATGATAATTATTATCAGCATCAGCATCACCGCCATCATTGTTAGTAGTATTGCTTTGATTATTATAATTACTGTTATTATTCAGGAATAGCTGATGAATCTAAAATGTAATAACAGTAATGATGATGGCAATGGTGATAATGACAATACCAATAATAAAATAATAATGATGATAAAAATAAAATTATATTAATAATAGTAGTGCTGTTAATGGTAATAATGATGATATTAATGGTGCTCGCTGTCTCTTAAGCCTGAATATAGTATTTGGTTGTCATTATTGTTTTTACCATTATTACCATCATTATCGTAATTATTTCAGGTATATCTGTTAATTCTAAAATGTAATAATAATAATAATAATAATAATAAAACAATAATAATAAAAATAAAATTATAATAACAATAGTAATATTGATAATATAATGATAATGTTGCATGCTGTCCCCAAAGCCTGTATATAGTATTTAGCTGTCCTTTCTAGTGCCTCAGTTTTCTGTAATGAAGCTGTCTTTCACCTTTTTTTTCTTGTTTTTGTTTTTAACGTGCATTTAATACGGCAATATAGTAAATCGATAATAAATATTCATTTAATCAAGTACGTACACCACAGTGGGGTAATCCTCTCCTTAAGGGTAAGCTCACCACCTTACATAAAAATATTCGTTAAAAAAAGTTTTCGGTCTTTCAACATGAAACTTTCAGGTTTTGCTTAGAATATAGATAGAAATATATTGTAAACCCGAGAACTTCCTACGTCCCGACGTTATAAAGTTATAACGTAATAGAATATTTTATACGTTATCAAATACGTACGTCGTATTTTTTGTACTACAAACTTCTGCTTTTGCATGGTAATACTTAAAAATCTTATGAACTCTTAGACACCTGCTTTTTTTAAAATTCGCTCTACGACGCATAGCGTAATTTTCGTAACGTAAGGTACGTAACGACGCACCCTATTTCTCCACTTATATGGTAACTGTCACTCTGTTTTTTAAGATATCGGAAAAAAGAGCCACAGAAATAAAGATATATCTATTATACACTACCAGAAGCATTTTCAGGCTTCTACAATTGATTATAAAATTTTGGCATATTTTTTATGTGGAAATATGTGGTTTTGAGATATTAGCGTATAAAGGTTTCAGTAATGTACAACTCTTTATTTATTGTGCGATTTTTTATTATGTTCACACAAATTATTATACAAGGTATATAAAACAAGCGGACAGAAATATATTTAATTATATACATATTTACTGTATATATATATTTTTTTTTAATGATGGTGCGCTTTTACCGGTTATAAAACCTCACTGCTGGGGTTTATTTTTACCAGCAATGAGCGCCTTCCCTCTTCTCAATGACATTTTTGACCCACATGTGCACCGGGCAATTGCTCTAACCCACTCCAACATATTTTCCAGGTCAACTAACAAAAATTCTCTGTCTCCACTCGTGGCACTGTTATCTGTTATAGTTGCACTATTTTCCAGCTTTTCTTTAGATTTAGTATGAGTCGCTTTGTAAGATGTTGTCTCTGAAGGTGGTGATGGTGGTGGTGATGATGGTGGAAGCAGCGTTGGTGGTGGAGAAGGAGGTGGTGGGGGTGAGGGAGGTGGTGACACATCAGCTGGTGGCGAGTCACGTGTTTGTATCCTCGCGCGCTCTTCCCTCCTTCTCCTACAACTTTCTTGCCACTTCTGGTTCAGTTTCTTCATTCTTTCTTTTGTTTTCCTCTTCATCTTCAGCAGTTGATGTCTGAACAGCAGTTAGGAGTAGTATAAATCCTCCCAATGGCAGGAGTGTGAAGTAAACACGACACAAAGACAGTAGTATGTCTCTGCTTATTGCTAAGTAACTGACGCTCTCAAACTCTCGTGCCTCGCCACCCTCGCGATCCCTCACCCCCGCATAGTTGCCAGGTACTCAAATATGTAACCCACAGGGAATATAACACGCGAAAAATAGCTATATCTCGCCAATATTTTGTTTCTAGGATAGTTATATTATTCAAATATGCCAATATCTAAATTTCGATTTTTTAATGAAAATTTCATGATTAAGGTGGTGAGCTGAGCCTTAAGTACAAAATAGTTTGACGTGTACAAATCGTTGCTTCCGTTTGATTCCTGTTCTGTACGTGTGTTACCCCGACTGTGTCAAGTTGAGGTACTAGACAAAGGTTGTTATTCTTTGAAGTTTGTGCTTAAAGCTGCTGCTGTCAGTGGTGCGAACCTTCAGAATAAATAAGTAGTGACACAGTAATTTGTGTATATATAGAAGAATGTAATTCTAGGCTCCCAACTATTGATAACATGTATCAAGAGTTAGTGCAAAGATTTCATGTGTCTTATTAAAAGAACATTATGTGTATAAGTTTGTTTGCATTTTTGTTAACAACTTTCTTTAATTTTACCGTATTAACAGTAATGTGTGGTTGCTTATTTTAATGTTGACAAGATGGTATCTAGGTCTGAGTGACGAATCATTTCGTAGGTAGCTGATACATTACTACTCACCTCCACTACTATTTAATTTATTTATAAAAAAAATATATAACTAAAGTTTCTTTTTGATAAGTCAGAAGGAAGATTGTATTAACTGTCAATTGTAGAAGATGGTTATTAGTATAAGATACTTATATCTCATGTATCAATGATACACCTCACATTATCTAAACTAAGGTAAAACTATATTTTGTTAAGTTAGCCATGTAGGAGTGTTTTCTTTTAATTACGCCATTTAACGGTAGATGTATATCCGAAATGTAAACCCTGGGTTGAGCGCATCAACTCTGTGTTTTACTGATCCCCACAACGAGTCATATATGCAGTGACTAGTCAAACTGGCTTTATACACGCAGGGCAGATGAATTCTGCCATATGAACAGTTTATGTTGATGTGGGTGAGAACCGTGCAGGCCGAAGTGGGGCTGAGGTTAATAATGGATTGGTGATGTGACAAAAACAAATGCAAATCAATATCCACAAGGAACGTGCACATATAGCGGAGAGAGTCGTTGTTATAATTATGCTATCGCATGCAACGTAATCTTGAGTTTTCAAAGTCTCACGGATTCTGAATACCCATGTAGAACGTGAGATTTAGAAGATCGCGAACCGTTGCCCTGTTTTATCTTATCATCTTGACTTCGATATTAAAGTTATTATTAACCTTTTGCAGTCTATTATATTTGTTATTTAGACCCAAGTTTATAAAAATTGTTTTTGTACATGGTTAAAGCCATATATTTTTTTTTCTTTATTATAAACAGTGTACACTACTCTTCAAATAGCCTATAAATATTATAGGCAGCCGAAATAAAATTCAATAAAAAATGAACTCTTTCTCGTGTGTAATCGCGGGGCATGGCTAGGTTAGATTATCCAGGGTTTGCTAGTGAGGATCAAATGTCCACGTGTTTTTTTGTTTTGTTTTTTTATGAGGAAGTTTTATGCTTAAATTTGAAACCTAATGGTGGTGTTATTAAAAACTCTTTTATTCAATCAGTAGGCCTATATAGCATAGTTGGGAATATTTTTCCAAGCTGGGAATAATATATTTTTTCTGTGTCTGTAAACTCGGGAATCGTCCGTGGGATTTTCTTTTCGGTTTTCTTTTCATGTTTGGAGTTACATCTGGAGTGTGAATATCCCATAACTTATAAAAGTATGTATTGATGAATTTTCACCTACATCTTTGACATTAAAATGTCAGAATTTGTTTTGTTGCTTATTATAAATATTAACGGCAATTCATGACCTCATGACGTATCAATATATGATTGGTGTGATTAATTAGCTCGTACTTAATATTTAAGTAAAGTGAGGTCCAGAGGCGAATTCAATTTCATTCTGGATGCTGCCATTATGCATGTATATTAGAGATTTGGCTTAACCTTTAATAATGAATTATCTTTTATGGTGGTAAAAAGGGTAAACATTAGTTAACAATTAGGATAATTGAACAGAATGGGATGAAGAAGAGAATGAAAAGGAAAGGGGGAGAAGAAAAGACCATGCAAAAATTTGTTGAAGCAAGGACTGAGGTCTTAGGTAGAGATGATCCCCTACATTGGGCCTCAGTGTCCGTCGAGCAAAGGATTGGGGAAGAAGGTTATTTTAATTGCAAATAGGATTCGTTAGCATAATCATTTGATTATCACGAAGGTTGTTATCTCTGTAAGTACTGTAATGATTTCATAACTAGCATTAATTATCTATTTTTTTTTTCAATTATCATCATCATAATCGTTATTAGTATCAGAAATATTACTACCGTTGTTTTCGTTGGCACTATTATCCATGTTATTTACTTATACATTTATCCCAAAAATTGCCATTAATCTTCATTTCAATTAATACTGTTTTCTTTTAGTCATCGTCGCTAATAGTCCTTGTTTTTCAGAAGTGTTGAAATCTTGACGGTATTCTCCGTGACGCGCCATGGTAAGATATGTGCTTATGTAATTCTGACTTATTCTTGGAGTAGTTAGCTTTTCATTCTAAGTTTGTTTTTTTTTTACCAGTAATTCATGTCAAGGTACTGCAGGATGTACAAGACTTGAAAATGACATGCTATATGATATCCATATTATACTAAATTATATATTTTTCTCTGCATTATATTTTAGAACTTGTTGCCGGATTGTACGGAAACCATAACTAGGGAAATTGAAGAAGTTATAAAAATTATTTTTAAAAAGTAGGATTACCAAATAGTATGCGTAGTAGAAACATAATTGATGTACCGTGCGTCTGTGGGCATCCCTTTCAAATTATTATTATTGTTACGCCTACCGAATCAAAATTTCCGAACACATTTCACTGAACAGATAATACAAGCTAAACGAGGCTGTGCTAAACTCGCCTTGGATTTCTTCCTGTACGATTTTAGACCGCGAACACTAGCAGGAACGTTAGCCTAATCTTCGTATTGTATTTTTATTGATAAAATAAATGTAAAAAATAATCATTTAGGGTTATAACTTCGTTCAAATACCAAATGTAAATAAGCAGATGACTACTTATACAACATTTGGCAAATGGAACAGCATTCTTGTTGTGTGATCAAGCGAAACTTTTGGTAAAGGTGGACTATGGAACTTTGGAGAGGATGTTAGATGTGTGTAAAATGTATCAGGCAGATGCTATTACTATATTTTACAGCAAATATAAAATAAACCGATAAAAACCATGGATACAGTGTAAATAGCGGCATCGACTAGCAAATACTTTCAAACCATAGAAGAGGGACTTAGCTTTTTCACGTCTCTTAACCATTTTTTATAGTTCGTCACCATTAAATTTCCTCATTACATTCCTTGTTCTCTTATTTTATTCCAACGTGAATTTAAATTCGTGATAAAAAAAAAATCCACAATAAATGAAGAGAGGTTAGCATCGCTAACATTGGACAAGGAAAACTGGCATCAGGCCAGGCGCATCCAGTCGATGTCTCACTCATAGGAACTTTACAAAATAGTCCAACAGTATGTGTACAATGAGTTGTCGGTGAATCCAAATGATGGACACGGCTCCCTGTCAATTTATCAATGTAGTCATCAAGAATCCCAAGTAATTTCCTGAAGACGTTTGGGTCTGAACTTTTTGTAATGAAAAAACAATTGAACGTTACCCCTTCATCAAGAAGGTCCTTGATGGTAAAGTGGACGACGATTTTGATTTTTGTCCCCAAATTGCCTGATTGTAAAAGTGTAATTTAACTTCCAGGTCACCTGAAAAGGTGTGTCGAAGTTTTCAAATTATTGTATTTTCTTTAGTAATATATCATGCCATATACTTCTCAATTTATTCAAACAAATCAGAAAATCGCACTTTTAAGCCATAGGGTTCCTCCTGAATAGCAGCCGAACTTTCTGACGCTCGAAAAAACGATTGTTACGCTAACCGCCGTTAGGGAATGGTGATGTAGTTACAACAGCGAAAAATTTTTTGAGGAAGCAAAAGCTCATTTTTGTTAGAAAGAAACAGAGATAGGGAAGCAGAGGAAGGGAGAGAGTGAGGGAGGGAGGCAGGTAGAGAGAGTATACTATATACACTCACAATGCACACTAACACTATCACAACCTCTCTCTTTTTCTATTGTTCCTCCCCCCTCTCTCTTTCTCTCCCTCTCCTTCTCCCTACATTCCTTTCATTTCTCTCTCTCTCTCTCCCTCTCTCCCCCTCTCCCTCTCCCTCTCCCTCTCTCTCCCTCTCTCTCCCTCTCCCTCCCTCTCTCCTCCCTCTCTCTCTCCCTCTCTCTCTCCTTCCCTCCCTCTCTCTCCTTCCCTCCCTCTCTCTCCTTCCCTCCCTCTCTCCCCCTCCTTCCCTCTCTCTCTCTTTAATAACTTCATAATTATCATACAGATATGTATAGGTTGAGCCCAGGTTGTATATTACAGTACATTCAGTTACCTCTCCCTCCATCCATCTCAATTTCTCACCCTCTCTCTCTCTCTCTCTCCCTTCTTCACTACTGTAAATCTCTATCTTCCCCTCTCTTTCTAGGGGGGGAGGAAGTATAGAAAAAACGAGAGAGGGGATGACAGTGTGTCAGTGTGTACTATGGCTGTATACTGTAAATTCTCTCCCCCCTCCCTTCCTCCCCCTCTCTCCGTTCATCCCTCCCCCTCCCTTCCCCTTTCTCCCTCCCTCTCTCTCACTCACTTTCTGTCTACCCTCCCTCCCTCCCTCTTTACTTATCTCCCTCTCTTTATATTTCTCTCCATTTCTCTTTTCCCTCCCTCCCTCCCACTTTCGGTTTGGCAAATTCTTCGCTGATGTAACTACATCACCATTCCCTAACGACGGGTAGCGTAACTATCGTTTTTCTGAGCTTCAATCTGGTCTCTTGAACAACAGCAGCCAAAGCGACCACTTTCCTGTAGGTATTAGATGTTCATGTAACACAACAAAACACCTTCAGCACCTTAGTTTTACCAAGCTCGTACGTAGTATTCAGAATTCGACCTGAGATGCAGCAATATCCATTACCGAAAAATTCGACAGTAGCGTTAAGCATAGAGTTCCATGGTGTACACCAAATTGCTGCAGGGTGTTGAGTGAACGCAATAGGGCCTACAGGCTTTTCAAAGATAACATCAATAATGCATTTACAATTACAATTACAAACTAGCAACAGAACAGTAAGACAAGCAAAAGGAGACTCCTGGCGGAGCTTTGTCTTTACAATTAACAGTAATACACCAACATCACAGGTTTGGCCCAGTCAGTAAAATAAACAAGAGAAAAAATAAATTAAAAACATTTATGAGGGAACAAATTTCGATTCATCTAGAGACGTTGCTAATGCACTTGCCAGGCAGTTCTCTTACACAAGCAGCTCACAAAATCACCATGCCGCATTCCTGACCACCGAGGAAGCAATTGAACTGCAACATGTGCACTTTGCCACAGGAGATAACTTAGATTACAACCAAGACCTAACAATGGATGAACTTGTCCGAGCCCTAGAATCCTGTAGACATTCGCAGTCCCTGATGAGAAACGATGCGAGTTGATAAAGCATCTTAATCATGATACCCTTATTAAATTGCTTGAAGTGTACAATGAAATTTGGAAAGGCAGACTTTTTGCCCATAATGAAAAGAGGGGTTCATCCCAGATCCGCCATCTCATACTGCCCAATTGCGTAGACAAGTTGCTTCTGCAAGATCATGGAACGAACTGTCAACAGTAGGCTTTAGTTTTTTTTTTTTTTTTTTTTTTTTTTTTTTTTTTTTTTTTTTTCCCTCAATAATCTGCTAGTTGAGCAGTGCGGCTTCCGGAAGGGGCACCAAACTCTTGATCAACTAGTAAAACTGGACAGTCCCATTCAAGAGGCAATTGCCGAAAAATCTTCATTGGTTTACTTTTTTCATGAGTGTGCCATTTTATCTATTAGTCTGGAAACTAAGCTAATAGAAACATAATCAGTTTCTGTTGCTGTTTCATAGAAAACTGGCATTTTGATCTAATATTTTTAAAGATCTTTTATATATCTATCTAATGGGCATGATTCTTCCCCTTGGTATAAGATAATAAACTTGGCCCAAAGTAGTAGAACGATTTTCTTGTAACATTAATTCAACCAGCATTTATATAAGATACAATAGTTTTTTGTTTTTTTTCCTGAATGTATTTCTTTTTCTACAGGCGAGTAGGAACATTGGACTTTGTCAAATATGCTTTACATGTTACGACAGTGAAGCCAAGCGGCCGAAGATATTGCCCTGTGGTCATACTTTTTGCTCCCAATGTCTGCTGAATATCAGAAAAAAAGAGAGATCGATCGCATGCCCTCTCTGCAAACAAGAGACTGTTGTGACAGACCTATCACAGTTAACAACAAACTTTAGTATCCTAGACTTGACACCACATGATCAGCAAGAAGTTCAAGCCACATCAAAGGTATCGGCCAAAGTTGAGCAGGGACCTCCACTTTCTACTGGAGTTTGTGACGATCATGGCCAACACAAATTATTTAAGTGCAAATCGTGTGAAAAGTGGATCTGCCATGTTTGCACTATCCTTGAACATCCTTTGCCTAAATGCAATGTCATCTCAGTCAAAAATGCTTTGGAGGAGATGAAGAACAATATAAATGCACAAGTTGAGCAACTCATGGCAGAATATAACCAAACATGCAATCAATTAGGAGTATACGACAGAGAACTACAGACCAGGGAGGAGAACTACAAAAAAACGTTATTGGAACTGGAGCATGTTATGGAGGAATACAAGGAGGCAGAAAAAAGTGTGGCTGGAGAACATCTCAAGCTAAAGAAAGCACAGGAGGAAGGCTTGGCCAACCTACAAGGTCTCAAAAAATTACAAAATAGCATGTCAAACCTTTCTAGAATCCAAGACACTGAAGACTTCAGTCAAACTTTTTCTCATTACAAGGAATTTGTTCAGACATGGATGCAAGATATACAGCAGATGACAAGTGGCCAGAACATATCACATAAGTCTCAGGTAAATTAAAGTGAAAGCATTTCTTCACAGAAAACGTGACATAATGATCATTCAACTCATTAGGAATCCTTCATACATATAGAATTAGAAGTGGATATAAGATTAATTTAAATACGGACTAGACTTTGAATATTCAGGTCAGTGACATTGCAGCAGACAGTGACATCATTTAAGTATTGTGCAGTATAAACAGTGATGCATTTTCAGAGTATTACTTTGGCCTATATCATTGTGTCTTACCCCATTGCCGCCGGGGATGGCATGTTCGTACAGCCATGCCCACTGTGAGTCGACTTGTTCGATTGTTTTTACACATAGATGGCTACACTTGTACTAAGTATCCAATGAGCCAATTACAGTACTGCCTATCTCGCCCGTTCACCCTTTTCATCGATTTACGAAAATATTTAACGTTATCCTAATTTGCTGTTAAAAATAACACCATCTATATTTATAGCACTAGTAAAAATACGTTTTTTTTCCGCTAATTCAAGGACAGGTGAAATCTGGACTAGCAGAGCCATCTATGGACAGAGATATTTCACAAAAATATAAAAAATGAGTACTGCATTTCCCCCATTTTTTGTTCATTTTCCCCGGCGGCAATGGGTTAATTAATTCTGCCTCTTGAGCAACCGCTAATCATTAGTAAATGATTTTAATGATGTTTTTCTGTAAGTGATAATTTTGTTACATAATAAAAAAATAAGCAAATGATGTGGGTGGGTGTATATATAGAATAGTGGTGTGTTAGTAATATTGTAAGTGTGATTTATTTCAGATACAGAGCTTAACTAACTTCGCAATGGAGATGTTAAACTGGAACATCTTGAAGAATTTGAAAGTAGATCAGCTTCAGTCCATTATTGACTCTGTCAGAGAATCTGTAAGTGTGAGAAGAGCCGATTAAGTAAGAATAAGAGTGAATTATATTAAGTCAGTGTAACACACTTTACATTGTTTTGGACTTACAGCTGGTAATATTAACATTTTCTCCTTCCACAAGAACCTCCCATAGTATATTTTTATATTGCAGATCATGATATCATTGATCACTTTTGTAAAGCCATCCCTATTAGTAGAGAAGGACAACCAGACCTTTCATGCCAGTGTGAGCATGCAAGTTAACAAGACAGTCATGGTTGGAGATTTGTACCCAGTCCAATCCTGTTCTTCTACTACCAGCATTATTCTCATGGTAGATCATTCATGTGTGTCTTTTTCTTCCTTAGAATATGAATTGCACTTGTAATTTATGTGCTTGCAGTAGCACATTCACTTCAAATATAAATAGAAAAAAAAGATAAATAAATTTTAAAAAATCAAAAAAATGTGGCACTAAATTAAGTTCTAGCACTTACATGATCATAAATATTTTACACTTTTTCCTCTCTACTATTCTTTCTCAAACACAAATCTGAAGGAAATGATGAAGAAAATACCTGAAGTATATATAGTACAAGAAGGACAAGAGCAAAAGAAATACTATCGCATACAAAAACTTGGAAACGAGGACCGTTTCACGATGGTGCCGATGAATGACCCAATGCCTCTGGATCGCCTCCACCTCTTGATTCCGGTTAGTAGGACAAGATACTTCGTCTTCTGTGGAGTAAGATGTTCATGTCGTTTGACCACCCCAATCACTTGTTCCTTCTTGTCGTGGGGCTGGGTTTTAGTAGACGGGGACTGAGGCCTAATGTAGGGGATCACCTCAACCTTGATCCTTATCCCTCGCCTCAACTATTTCTGCATGGTCTTTTTTTCCTCCTCTCCTTTTCCTTCTCTTCTTTTTCACATTCTTTTGTCCAATTATCGTAACTGTTAACTAATTTTTAACGAAATGTGCTTACTGGCAAGGCCGTTGACCTTAGCATGACCCAACCTGATTGTTGTGTGATGTGTACAGGTCAAGGCCTGGATTCTTACATTACCCCTCCAGTAAGAGAGTCATATGAGCATGTGTTTCATGTCATACTAGGATCACTGTTTGGGAATAGATGAAATTTGTTTGAGACACCATGTTTTCCCCTTCTCACTTTCAGGATGGCGACCCCATAGATAATGGATTATGGTTTAAACAATGGCTGGGGTGGAAAAGAGTCTCTCTCTCTCTCTCTCTCTCTCTCTCTCTCTCTCTCTCTCTCTCTCCATATTTATTTCCTCCCATGTTTTGCAATTTTCCCCTTACCCTATTACTCACTCTTCCTCTTCCCATGCATATATTATACATAAATTCCTTTGTTGTGTCCTTTCAGATGAATACTCTAATACAAGCTGTGGTTGTATGGGTTATAATCAATGACCGCTTTGGACGTCTGATGAAGATGCAGGAGAACCCAACAGTGAAACGTGGGTACCAGCTTCATACCTCTGTGGATCATCCTCCCC